ACCCTTCTCGTAGCGCCGGAAGTCTTGGTCTTCCGGAGGATGGTGGTGAGTCGCCCCTCCACCATCACTAGCTCGGCCGGCAGGATAGCCTGAAGGTCCGACCATCTTAGCGTGGCCCAGACCTTGACCAATTAGCCCAGGCCCAGATCCGCCAGCCTGCGGCCAGGGCGGGGTTGATGACCACGAGCTCTAGCTGCACCAGCATGTAGACGGGGTAGCGGGGCGCTCTCTTGATCAAGGGGGCTCCCTCCGCTAGCTGCTCCACAATGCTGTCCTTAGCGGCCCAGACCAGGCGACCAAAGGTGGTCCTTAGCTCCACCGGAAAATCGGCCACCTTCTCCATCCAGGAGATAGCCTTAAGAATAGCTTCCGGGACCGAACGGCCGCAGGGTTCATCACTCCTAGCGAGGAGGTAATCCACCAGGTCCGCGGCGGTGCCCGGGGGCGGCCTGAACTTAGCTGCGTGGAGCCATTGGCGCCACTGCCTGTAGTAGCTCAGGTAGCGCTTCAAAGTCGAAGCCCGGGTCTTCCCCGGAAGCAACATAGCTGCCCTTGCGGGGTCCAGACTCCCGTGCAGCTTAGCGAGAACCGGGGCATGTATCTCTAGCAGCTCTTCACGGAGCTTCCTTGCCCAAACCTCTAGCAGTCGCTCCTCTCTAGCTGCACTGATCGTGCTGGGCTGTAGCGTCTTCCGATTCCGCTCCCCGGGGGGAGGTCTTAGCGGCGCAGGTGGCTGATGCACCGCGTCTTCGACCTCTTCCCTTGGAGCAGGTAGCGGTGGCATCCGGGCTCTCCAGGTGATATCGTCCTGGAAGTAGCCGTGCACCCTCTGATAGACAGTAGCCTCCTGCCGCGCTTCTTGCAGCCAACAGTAGACACCATCCCATAGCCACGGCTGGTATGGGATACCTAGCTCTCGAGCTAGCTGCTTGGCGACATCCTCCGCGTCGTCCAGATCCACCACTGCTAGCTCCAAGACCCCAAACCCTTGGCTGGAGAGATGCCGGTAGGCCCTGTCTAGCGTGCGCCTACGTTCCTGCTGGACCGTAGCCTGCGCCTCTAGCTCTGCCTCCATCTCCCAGCCCTCGAAGAGCACTCCCGTCTCTTCGGGCTGTGGGTCGCTAGCTGGGGTCTGCGGGACCCACGAGGGTACCTCCCCGGAAGGAGCCCCCGCGGTATCGTCCCCCCCTAGCGTGGGGACCTCGGTGGGACACGAAGCACTTAGCGGGGGCGGGGAATCCCCAACCACAGTAGCGCAGTCGACGGCCGTAGCGGCTGCGCCATCTGGCGTGGTCGGCGCCAGGGTAGCGTCGCTGTCCGACATGGCAGCGCACCCAAAGCAGGGCTAATTAGCCCTGTTCCCCTTCCTACCCCACTCGAAATTTGCCCCCCAATAGCTGGGGGCCTTTCAGCACAATGGCCACGGAGTAGCACTGCTTCACCGGCCATGTGCAGACACTCTAGCAAACAGACAAGCTTCGTTCTGTTTAGCTTCAGAGGAAAACCCCTTCGACGTTTTCTAGCGAAACACCTTCGATGTTTCCCAAAGGGATACTGGCGCTAGCATACACTGTCGTACCTCGTCCCTCGGCACGAGTGCGAGTGAGCAGCGCAAAGACGTACTTAAACTCAGCCGTCTGCTTCAAGGACGAGGACCTTGGCTTGTCATGAGAACACGACAATAAATTCCATTAAATTAAATATTATTCTAAAGCTTAGCAGAAACGCAAAGGACCTCCCATTAGCAGCCAGGGCTCACGCGTGTGACTATGGCCCAATAGGACAACCATGTCCTTTTCCCATTTACGACCTGTGTGGATCGCAACCGGTCCAGCAGCCCGCTTTCCACGGATTTCTTGTACATCGCCAGCAGCTTTTGCACCTTTGTTGGCACAGACAGACCGACTTCTGAGAGCATGACCATTATGACAATAATTTAGGAACAGGCCTGATCGTCTGTGTTCAACGTGGATTCTGCGCTGCCCGCTGTGATCTTGTTTTGCAGCAAATTGAAGATGTCTTTGTTGGACGAGGGCTGGTGCTCCTTGACGAAAATTAAAACACACAGACAGGGATGCACGACAGGTGTCATTGATCAGAGATTACTTCGAAAATCAATGTCATGCAAGCCACTGCGACGAGGGCGGCCTTGAGTGTTGCGAGTCTTGTTGCATAGTTGAACGGCAGGTGGTTGCCCTGCTCGAGGCATTTCTTCTGGATGTCCTTGGCTTCTCGGCTTCAACAAGAAAATGTGCAAACAACACTACTCAGACACATAAAATAGCTAGTGTTGTGTCAGGTCACCTCCCCCGACTGGATAATCCGAATGATCGTCTTCTCGCCGCCAAACAGTCGGGTCACGACAATGTGAACCATCCCAGCCAGCTCGAAGAGCACTCGGAGCCCTGACAGGGCTCTGATACTGATACATGTGACACAGTCGTTATTGATCACACGACAAAACTCATCCTGGCCTTGTCACACTCGACCGCCTCCTTCCATGCGAGGACGAAAGACAGAATCTTGTGACTGTCCTCTGCGAGGACGAGGGTGCCTTTTGTGGAAACCTCCGTGGCAAAGGTGGAGGCTATCAAGGGTCCGCTGGCGAGGACGCGGCTCTTGCTCCACCAGTAATCTTTGGCGTCCATCAGAACCGGAACCGGCGGCAACTCTCCGTGGACGAGATCGAGGTCGGCCAAACACCCGGAAAAATTGGCCACCTGCGGGTCACTCACTCAAAGCGCTCTAAGTCTACTACACTAAAGACTGCGACTGATCTGTGCTTCGCTATGCTGTCAGTCGCGAGCCTTGCCGACCATTGCTCCTGTCCAGTTCTTGGGGAAGGACTCCACACCTGCCACCAAGCTCTTCCCTGACGGCACCCACTGTCTCGTCCTTTTCAGAAAGGTGACGGCCTCATTGATCCTCAACAAGCACATGTGGCACTGGCAAGTCTGCTGTGGGCACATGTGGCAAATCTGCTGCCTGCGACAGCGACTCCCTTTATTACTGAACTGACCAAGCTTCAAGATCACCGTCTCCGGGGACGGGGGCGGGGGCGTGGCTGTCTCGCCGTTTTCATCGACGAGGGCGGCTGACATGGATGGATCCGCCGAGGTCGAGGCCTCTTTCGAATTTGGTTTGGCAGGGCTTTTGACCTTGGCTTTCGCCTTGGCCTTGCCCTTTGCCTCCGGTTTCTTGCCCATGGTGCTCGCCTGTCCGTCTGCTAGCACCGCAGGGCCAACTTTGAGCAAAATGCTCTGGGATCTTTGAGCTGTTGTAAGAAGGCATATGCCGAGCAGTGCCACACATGCAAACCAGCTGACACGTGAGATCCGGATGACAGTGACAGTTGCTGAGCAGCAGACCTGCGAGGACGAGGACTGCAGCTGCGGCGGGCTTGGACCTGATTTAGTAAGAGATACTCAGTCTGGCGTTGCTAGACCTTTGGCCCTGCTGCACAACACTGTCTTTAACGGGCAAAGAGGCTCGTTACATTAGGGGTCGAAAAAAAAAAGGATTCTGATTTGACAAAACCCAGTCATAAATGTAACCCCCCAGGGGGGGTACATCCTTGCAGGCCGGCCCCGGGCATGTGTGCAAGGATGTAGGGGTTCCGGGGGGGTGCGTTTGTGATCGGTTTCAGGATAAGTAGGGTTAGAATCTTTATGTTAAACCCAGTCATAAATGTATACCCCCCAGGGGGGGTACATCCTTGCAGGCCGGCCCCGGGCATGTGTGCAAGGATGTAGCGGGTCTGGAGGGTTGCGTTTGTGATCGACTTCTGAAAACCGAATCCTTTTTTATGGAATCGGGTTGCACGGCTTCCAATGACAAATCCAGGGCCCCCGGCTGTCATCAACTCTCGGCATCAACCTGCAAGAACACAACAGCCAAGGATCGGATGTATGAAACGATACTCTCTGGCTCACAGCTCTCCCTAACTTCACCTCCAGTGCCTGTCAGTCACAGACACACACACACACACACAGACACAGACACACATGCACGCACACAGATTTTCCTCGCGCTGCCTGGCACTACTGGCCACACAACACCCGATGTCGTGCTGGGTCCGGGTTTTTGGACCGCAGAAATGAGATGTCACAGCTTCCAGCCAAATATTTAAAACATAATGTTACACAATGTCTGCCTTGGCTTGAAATAAGTAGCTGTGTCGCATCATGTTGAAAATTATCATACTTTATAACTTCAGTGGCCCAGGCTCTGTGCTGTGCATTGTCTACCGGTGGCGAGGGCATCCTGCCAGGACCAGGAGTGGCGAGGGCATCCTGCCAGGACCAGGAGCATTTTGGACCACATTGGAAGCCCATGCACCATGCATATGCAGTGCTGTTACGGACCTTCACAAGGAGAATGAATCGCGGAAACTTCCATGATTGGATCACATGACCCTGCTTGTTCATGCATCATGGACTCTGACTCAGCCCACTATTAGAAACGTCGCACCAACCCGCCTTCTTCACTGTAAGAATCCAGGCCGCAAATGGCAAAGATGTCGGCCCATCAACCATCTGACGAATTTGTTGATTTCACGAGCACCTGGCAGTGTCGTTGTCATGGGAACACTGGGACTGACTGTACACCACCTTGGAAGGCGGAGCACCTTAGACTGACAATCATGAAACCACGGCAAGGTCCTCCTGGATGCTTTCTGCGTAAAGCAGGTTGGCCTTGCCTTGGGGTAGTCGCCGACGAGCACCCCACCACACGTTCTGCATGGCTGACAATGTCGCTCATGTCAAGCTTGCTCTGATGATATTTTAATAGAGTAAGTACGAGTGGCAGCACTGACACCAGTCCTGGGCGAGGGCGTCCTGACACCACTCCTTGGCGAGGGCGTCACGTGATGACTGGGAGCGTAGACCACCTTGGAAGGTCAAATGCACATTTGCCTGCCGACATGAAAACCGTAGACGAAAGGCCCTAAACTGAATTTGTTTTGTTTTGTGACCTCACTGAATGTCATCACAATTGAATCAGAGCGGCTTGCTCAAGTGCACCAGGAAGTTGGACTCAGTCACCACGACTCCCTTGTTCTTGAACGCAACCGAGACCTTGTGCGTGTCGCCGACGACCACCCAGGAACGCTTCTTCCTCCTGGTCAGTATTTAAACAAGCGTCCTTTAATCTTGGCTTGCACGGCAACAAGCTGTGCCAAGGCACAGTTCAGATCTCTTCGCCCGTACTGTCCAGCGGTTCGCACAGCTGGCCAAGGAGATCACCAGCAAGGCGTCGCTCTTGTAGGTCACGCTGTCACCGAGGACGAGTTCCATGCTTCGTTCGAGGGCGGGGTCTAGGGAGAGGACTGGCATTACCAGCTTGTGGTCTGTGTCAAAACAAGCTGCCATCCACTCGGGCCCAGCCAAGTATCCTCCCAGCAAACGGGTCATGACGACCTCGGTCATGCTGATGTTGTGCTTGGCCTTGCCCTGGATCAACGCCGTCTCAGCATCTGCCGTTGATGCTACCCAAATAACGTACTTGTACTTGGGCGACAGCTGCCGCAGCAGACCCTTGGCATTGGAAGCCTCGAACAGGAAGAGCTTCGCCTTCAGCCTCGACAGGATCTTGTCCTGCGAGGACGAGGGCCGGCCACCACACAACACGATGGCTGTAAGCTCGTGCTGCAGAAACAGCTTGTGCTGGATCGCCTTCTGCAAGTCGACCCGCTCCAGCGGAAGCGCTTCCTGGTCCTGGGTTTCCCTCTGAATTCTCAGCTTCTCCTGTGCCTCGAGGCCGTTGCCAGGACCGAGGAGGAGGGCGTCGAGGACCTTGCGCTTCTGCTTTGCCTTGGTCGCGAGGCTGCTGAGAAGGCTGCAGTAGGCCTTGCGCTTCGTGCCTTGGTCGTGAGACTTCTCTGTCGTTTTTTGCAGAGAAGACAGAGAAGTGCTGCCCCCATCATCCTCGAGGGCGGTGGCATTGGGGATGCTTTCTGCCTGATTATTTCGGCGTCGAAGGAAGGCAGCTCTCCCCTTGGATCGCACCCGGGTCCCTGCAACCTCACGCCTGGGCAACTTTGACACGGCACGCTTGCCCTCTCCATACAGGCTGCGGTAGGCCTGCTGCACCTTCCGCACAAAGGGGGTGTTCTCATAGACACAGACTCCACCCTCTGACTGTCTGAAGGGGATGTCTTCAGCACGAGGGCCGTCTGCGAGGACCTTCAAGAGGGCGCGGACGAGGACGTCCGAGGTTCTCGCCTTGCGCTCAGAGCTGAACATGCGCTGCACTGCAAAGCTTTGCTCCACTTCGCACGTACTCTCCCAAACGGACAGCAAGAAGCTCACCTCAGGGGGCAGACAGCGTAAGCATGAAATTTCACGGCAACTTCGCTCATGCAGGATGAAGAATAATTAGCCGCTGAGTGGCGGCGAGGGCGAGGGCAGGGAGCCGCTTCTTGCCCCAGTGCATGACTACTTGTCCCCAGTAGACCTCGGGGTCAACCACTCCCTGCCTCAGTATGACCAATGAGACGACACAGTGTGTCAGTAGCTGAAAACTACCAGGCGGGATCCATGTACTAAGACCAGAACTTCAAGAGGGCGCGGACGGTAGGTCGGGCCACAACCATATCATCGGATAACTTCTGTGCATCGAGGGCGAGGGCATCTGCCAAGGGCTTCAAGACAACAGGCCTCACCCAGATTTCAAGAAAGCTGCTGAGTCAATAATGGCAGTGACACTCTGCTGCTTCAATGCGATTTAATGTAATAAAAGCCCAGGCCACAGGGCTTCGTCATCTCGATGCTGGCTCTGCCAATAGGCGAGGTCGAAGGCGGAGAACGAAGAAGCGAGGGCACTTTCGTTCTCAGTCATTACGCCTTCCAAGAATAGATCTCTTGCACACCAGACTGGCCCCAGGCACTTTGCTGTAATTTTGTCCATGTCCACGCCCTCACCTCGCAAAGGAAGTTATGACATGAAATGTCGCAGCAAGGCAAGCAGCGGACTGTCTTCACCTTTTAATGTTGCGCACACCCTGCCTGGAAGACGATAAACCAGTTCTCCGCTCTCGATGACGGAGAAGGTTCGCTTGCCTGCCACGGCGACAACAAGATGGACGCAGCCGTGACTTTTATTTTAAAAGCAGTTTCAACCCCCAAGCCTAGGCCGAGGGCGGCTGTCACAATCTGCAAGTACCCAGCTGTGAAGCGGGCATCGAGGACGAGAGGACGGTGTGGCTGACCCTTGTACTGAAACGAGAACAGCTGTGCCAACTTGTCTCGAAGACTGGCTGCAGCCATACCATGCTGGCTGATCCTCGAGGGCCGGGAGCACTGCCGCGAAGCTGAGCCGGACTTCACGCTCCCGCCCTTGTTGTCCATCTTGTGGACATATGGCTTGCAGGCCTCCAGGAACTCGGTGACGAGGGCCATGTGCACGATGTTCTCCAAGGTGAAGAAGTCCAGCATGCCTGAACTAAGTAGTTGAATGTTAGACTACTGCCCTCGACCTCGAGTCACACAGAAACAAGATTACTATCTGGCAAGTCGCGCTTCGCCCAGGCAGCATTCTCCTTGTCGAGCTTGCTGCGAGCAGTTTTGCAGAGAAAGTCAAGGATCTCAGAAATCCGCATGCTGCACAGGCACAGAACCTGCAACATGCTGTCCCATCTCTGCGCGGCGAAGGACCAAGACGAGGACGCGGCCGCGGACGAAGTCGAGGCCCCGCACAACTCCTGGATCACGTTCAAATCCTTCATGATTTCCGCAGAGAAGGCTGAACGCAATTTCGCCGAGTTCGACAATGCGCGGGCCAAGCTTCCGCGGTCCTTGGTCCCTGCGAAACGAGTGACGAGGGCCTCGACGAGGGCAGAGATCTCAGGCACTGCTTTCAT